AGGTGCGAGCGTGGGGGGCAGCTGTGGCACACGCATTCCTTCAGGAGAAGTTTGCTGTCTTTTAAAATCAAAAGCCCTTTCATCCTCCCCCCTCCCAGATTGCACGATTACGCAGCGAATTGGACGTTGTTCGTGGCAACACAAAGGTGATGTCAGAGATGCTCACAGAAATGATCACGATTACGCAGCGAATTGGACGTTGTTCGTGGCAACACAAAGGTGATGTCAGAGATGCTCACAGAAATGATCACGATTACGCAGCGAATTGGACGTTGTTCGTGGCAACACAAAGGTGATGTCAGAGATGCTCACAGAAATGATCCCTGGGCAAGAAGATTCATCAGACCTTGAGTTACTGCAGGTGAGTCTATGAGAGGGCAACTTTCTTAGGTCTTCTGTATTTTTTTCTCTTATCTTTCCCGGTTTGGGGAAACTCTTTAAGCCGTTTAATCTGGAGCCACAGAGTTGGAAGGGGTCATTCGGTTATTGAAGACCGATGTCCTGCTCAGTGAAGAATCCAGGTTCCAGCATTCACAACAAATGGTTTTCCAACCTCTGTTTATACGCATCTATGAAAGGACACCCCACCCCTTCTCTTCCATTCCCAACTCCCCTTATGGTTAGCCAGAAATCACCTTTTCCAACTGACAAATGTTAGTGAAAGGCAGAAGGTTTTGTGAACTATGGCTCACTTCATCAGGTGCAAATTTTAGCTTTAGCCATTCCTTCTGATTTTTGGCCACTGTGGATTAACGCAGCTCTCCTCCTAACGTGTCTCTTACTGTTAGGAAATTTGTCCTAATTCAGTCAGAATCTGTCTTCCTGGAACTTAAGTCCATTATTTTCTGCCCTGCCTGAGCGAGAACAAGTCATTGCCTTCTTCTGTGGACGTCCCCTTAGCTACTTGGATTTAAGAAAGCGAGATAAACGTGTGGCTGGCTCTTGCCTCTTAGACAAAACAAAAGAGCCACTAAGCAGTTAAGTAAGAGGACATTTCCTGATGCAGTGCAAGCTGGTTCTGTCAGCCCGTCTTCACTACCTGAGTCCAGACTTCTGAAATGTCACAGTCTGGCTCTGAACTGACAAGATTAAAACTGACATTGGCAAACCTGGTCCTCAAGCTGTTGCAGCAGCTGGAGAGCCTTGAGTGGAGATTTATGCCATGCTCCGAATGTCAGTCTTGGCAGAGGAAGCCCGTGCGGGTCTTTATTCTTCTCAAAGGTTGTGTGCTGTCACTGCTCTCCTGATTTTCCACTCCGGCAGGGGAGGCATCCAGGTTCAGGGTAGCCTTTGTTTAAAGGTCACCCCTCATGAAAAGTACAGGGGGGGAAGCTGGTGAAGGGCTTCTCTTGTTTGGCGGAACAGTGATGTCCAGTGGGCAGAGGTGGGTCACCTGGATAGGCTGGGCCCCTTTTGCAGAAGGAGCCAAGCAAAGCAAATGAAAGAGGCCAGATGTGTGCCGCAGCCTCCCTTAGTGACATCTCTGCCCAGATCTGGAAGCAAAAATGCACTCAAAAGGCCACAGGACCTCCTTCCAGCTGTGAACATTCTGGCCCCTGCTTGTGGTGCCAGCCATGGAGACTGTTCCTTGCCCTCAGACATCTCCTTGTCTCCTCTCCTAGGAGCTGAACCGCACTTGCCGAGCTATGCAGCAACGGATTGTGGAGCTGATCTCCAGGGTCTCCAATGAAGAGGTCACGGAGGAGCTGCTTCATGCTAACGATGACTTGAATAACGTCTTCCTTAGATATGAGAGGTAGCCTCTCTTTTTTCTTTGAGAAATTAGTTCTTCTGGCACAATGGCACGGCAACAGAAGGCTGTCCCTCTCTAGTGGCAGCCACTATCATCATGGGGTGTCCCCAGAACAGGGGGCATTCAAGAGTCTTTTTTTAAAATAGTAATGTTATTAAAAATTACATTTGCAATTATAAAAATTAATACTAAAAAAATAAAAGAATAAAAAGAGAAAATAGAAGGTGCAGAAAAGAAAAAATATAGAAAAGAAATAAACAGTAAGAATATAGTAAAGAAAAATCTATAAAGAAATGACTTCCCCTTTCATCACAACAAGTATAAGCAATTTTCGTAACTAATCACCTTCTCTTAAAATACAACAAATGATCTTGTCTTCCCATATCCCATCTCTTATCTATAACAAATCCTTAAAGACTCATCATTGAGTCCAGCAAAAGTCCATTAAGGGTTACCAGAAATACAACATATCTATTTTAACCTCGATCAAATAAACCAACTTTATATTCCTTCCTTTTACTTTTAACCATCTTGATCTTTAGTCCCTTCAAATAATCTCCTAGGACTTGATTTTGTTCCATTTTTTCTTTGTCCCTTTTCAGAAAATTCTTCAAAGCTTTAACAAGCCTCTTTTGTAAATCCAATATAGGAAAATTATCCAGGTCACTCTCTTGGTTTGTTATTTGTATATCCCTTTTAATTATTAGGACATCAGATCATTTCTTTTGTATGTCCAGTGTAGCATTTCTTCCCATACCATTCTTGTAGCCTGTCATTTTTAAATTCACTTTCAAATCAGTCAAAACTTGTTCCTCTTTCATAACATATTTTAAACACAGTCTGTCTATAATGTGATACACTCTTAAAATTAACTTCTGGGTCCATATTGTTCAAAAATATCCTTCAGTATGTCCCATGTTAAAATATTTTGCTTCATTCTGTATTAGTAAATCAAATATAAGTGTCCTTCTCCTTTAATTGTAATCTTTAGTTCCCTCTAGTGTCCAACCTTCAAAGTCCCATTCTATCTCTTTTTTTTTAAGAATTCAAAACAACAGCATTTTCCCACAGTAAGAATTATTATAATTCCAAAATTTCATTTCAAATCCATCTGAACCATTAGTCCATTTCTAACTTTCCAAAATCAAAGTTCTAATCACCCTTTTGCTGTTTATTCCCCCCCCCAAATTTTTTAAGTTCTTAAACTTATATTTAAAATTTCTTTTGCTAAGGATTGAAGGAAACTCACCCAGTGTTTTCAGACTTGTAGATCCAAAGATTCCTAATAGCTGAAAAGCAGTTAACCATAAATTTCTGAAAGTGATTAGAAAAGAAAGTACGTGAACCCAGTGTCCTTTTAAAGGCGCCAACTGCAGTTTGAGCAAGATGGCTATTCCCTCGTCACCTAGAGCTCTACAGCCATCCAGCAACTGCTGTCTTGCAGTCTCCTCGCAAGGAGCAGCTGTGCAGAGCTCTTGTGGACGATCTCAAGTCCTCTCCTTGTCTGGAGAGGAATTACGAAGAGCCGGTCTACTCACCGGCTCTCATTCTGCATTTGAAAGTCAGCTGCCTGTTTTCTGCTGAGTGGATTCAGGCTGGCTGTTCGGCATGGCTGACACAGGCTCTTTAAGTATTCTGCTTCTCTCCTTTTACACGGAAACCTGAATCACAGCCGTTTCTCTATTTCCTAGAGTTCTCAGTTCATCCTCTCCCCTTCCCAAGAAGCCAGGGGAGATAACAGGTGTAAACGTCAGAGTTATGTTAAGCCATTTTGGTTCTTTGTCTGCTTTTCAGCTGTGGATCATTGACACCCATGTGCCTACATTGATGCCTGGCTGTGTTAGGTGTTATGTGTAAAGCTGGACACTAGATGTCCAGAAAGAATATCCTGGAAACAGCATCTGACTCAAAGGCATCTGAATAATACTGCAGGCTAGCCAGGCGTCCAAAGACACTCTCTGGTTTCATGCTTCTAGTGGCTATCTGGATGTTTGCATTCCAGATACGGGCCTTGCCTTGCAGAACACACCACAAAAAGAGATGTGTTTGTTTGTCTAGAAACACATCAAGCCCAGTTCTGGTTAAGGGCTACTGCACAATCCATCTCCAGGCAAGGGCCAAAAATACTTTCCTTGCAAACCACCACTTCCTGTGGGCTGTTTGTGTTGCCCTCCCTGGTAACGGGAGATGGGAAAAGAATGTGGCAGATGGGCCTTGTGGTCCCCTCCTGGATGTCTTGCTTGGAATCAGCCCCCCACCCTTTTGCTCCACAATAATTCCTTCTCACCGTTCCTGCTTTTGTGTTAGGACCCAACTTGTTCAAAACTGCCCCCTGTCCTCACTTTTAATCTCTCTCGGTTCTCGTCTGCCTCCAGGTTCGAACGCTACAGGTTGGGTCGATCTGCACGGAACGCAAGTAATGGGGTAAGTCCGCCAGCCAGCCTTTCCGGCCAGCCTAACAGCCACGCTCTGCCCTTGTCCTTGCCACCAGAGTGTACTCTTCCCAGAGGAATCCCTAATATTCATCCTGAATATCGAGCTTCACTAGTTGTGTCCTTAGTGGCAGATCAACACCTGAGGATCTGCTTGCAGATTGGAAGGACCAGGCCATTAATGCTGCTTCCGGCCGTTTCAAGCTGACCAGGAGGGGAAAATCTTAGAATCCCCAGGTTGGAAATTCAACCCTCTGCTTCCTGGAGCCCCTGCTACTGTCTCCAGCTCTACTTCAAACACCACAGTCCTAATCAGAGCGTATTTTAAAAAGTCAAGATGGTGGCCACAGTCGTGCAGTCAAAGCTCTGCCTGTTTTTTATGGGTGTCACTGGTCCTGATTCATCTGCTTGTGTGTTGGGAGAGAGGGCTCAGCACTGGCAGAATTCTGTCAGTTTTAGTTGAGATGCCGTAACCAGGGAAAGGAAAAACATCTGAAGAGAGGTGGAAGCGGGTGTTTGCTTCTCTATACACACACATGCCCGGTTGTAACGTCCTGGGGTTCAACAGAGCAACCCAGTGCTGTCTCTGACTCGTGTGATCCGGCAGGGACGCCGGTCCCCTTGCGTGACCTCTGCTGCTACCCTGTGTGTCCCTGCAGGTTCTCAGTGAGGTGACTGAGGACAACTTAATAGACCTGGGCCCTGGTTCCCCGGCAGTGGTCAGCCCCATGGTTGGAAACACAGCCCCCGCCTCTACCCTTTCTTCTCAGCTTGCTGGGCTTGGTGAGTATTGTTTCTAGGGGAGGACGTCTCAAGAAGCGAGTCCACAGTGAGAGCCTTTGAACCTTGAAATCTCCCCCATTATGCTTCTGCAGCTGCCAGCGTTTGATGGTGGCAGCTCTGTAGGGGCAAACGCCTAGGAGCCAAAGTTCTGCATTTAAAGGCAGGGCCCCTTTTTCCATTTATAACAGTTTGTGCACCGTAAGTCTCTGAGATGAGACACGTCCTTTAATCACCTGGTGCACAATCTTTAACCATGCTGTGTGCAAATCTGTGTTTGTCCCAGTAGGGCTCTCAGAGTCATATTTACATCCCGTATTACATTCAAGCTGCGTATCATTTAATTCATTTATGCGGTCCCTTCTCTGGCACAGAGTGTTTTGTGCTGCAACGAGGCGAGGAGAACTGAATGTTGCGCCTTTTCCTTTCCAGTCTGTTCTTCTCTTGAATCTTGCCTTCCTCTTCCCCCCATCTCCCCTAAGATGAGTTTTAGCTCTAGGCTAATCTTTCCGGCCCTGGTGATGGACTCTAAAGGGAGATGAGGACAGAAAGGTGCAGCCTTGGCCCTTTTGTCCATGTGAAGGGAAGAAGGAAGGGAAATGTGGCTGGCTTCAGGCCTGGTGATAGGGAACGTGCATATGCACTAGGACTCACCTTTACCAAAAGACAGAGTACTGATTCTTTGTTCAAAGCAAAACGTGCCCATCTCCCTCTGTTTGCTTGACCCACGGCAAGGCTTCTAGCTTCTCTTTCTCTGTGTTTCTCCACAGATTTGGGCACCAACAACGTGAGTGGGACCCTCAGCTCGCTCCCCCACAGCAATCCCCGTGAGGACTTTGACATGTTTGCACAAACGAGAGGCAGTTCCTTGCCAGATCCGCGTAAGACGTAGGTGGCAGTGGCGTGGACTCCGCTGTCCCTCTGCAAATGACCAAGGAGCTCCCCAGGCCAGCGGTCATCCTCTCGGTCACAGGTCCAAATCCTGAGCCAGTGAATTATCCAGTGGCTTCATTTCATGGCCACTGCGCTACAGCAAATGCATTCCTCTTTTTTCAGATACGCCATTAGAGCCAATCTTGTCCCGAGGGCTTGGAGAGAGGAAATATTGATGGCTCAGTATTCCCAGTTAGATCGTATTTCAGACTATTCTAGGCTACTCGGAGCCAATCCGAATTTATTGAGAAGCCATAGCCTGTCAGAAATGCAGCATGAGACGTTTTTGTGGACCTCAGGAACACCTTGCCCTTACCAATCCATTACTTTGGAAGGCATGGTGGTAATATTGTCCCCACTTTCAGGGCTGTTAAAAATGGAGTCATCCTGGCTCTCTGGAGATTTGCTGGATGAATTTACAGCCTCCAGAGACCTCCCAGAGACTCCTTGGTCTTTAAGCATGAATGATGCGTTCTTGTCTTTGTTTCATTGGCTCCACCCTGTGGCTGATTTAGGGGGGATTTTTATGCAGTCAACTCCCTCTGCCTTAATTGTGTTGGCCTTGTGGGGCTTCTTGCAGATGTGAAATTCCTAGATTGAGGAGGTAGTGAAGTACGACTTTTTATGTGTATGTATTCAGCTCCCGTAGCAAAACCTGCCCCTCTGGGTGGAACAGTTAATGTGCTTGCATCTGGCTGTGCTCATTATTTTGCTTCCTTTTTACAAGTAAAATTGCCATGGTTTCATCTCTCTATCATGTATTTTCCTTTGCTGTCATTAGTTCCTGGTCATTCCAACAATTTTCTCCTTTCCTTTTTTCCAGCATGACAAGGGAGGAGCCACAGGCAACTAAAGGACCAGCACCTGCCTCTGATACCCGGAAACCAAATTCCGGAGGGGTAAGTCGTTGCTCTGTTCTGCTGTGTTACAAAAGGGGTGTGCGTGTGTGTCCGTGTCTGTATCCCATCTCAAGCTGGGGACACTGAAGGCAAATGCATTATCTTGGGTATGATTGTCTGCTTTTGGGCACCTGACTGGAACTGGCAGAGCAAGCTGGAGTCACCTCATTGCTCAGTCGTTTGGGTGGGCTCAGCAGTCTTGTCTAGACGTGTTTGGGGATCAGATATTTAAATGGCAAAGGGTCAATGGGAAACTCCTGAGGGCGGCCCAAAGATCCAGCTTCTATCTCATCCGTCTGAATGTTGAGTTGTGCCCAAAAGGGCCCTTGACTCAGTCTGGAGAAATACAGGGTGCTCCTTTGGGGCTGAGGGACACTTTTCAAGTTTCCTTTTTTTCCTGCAGTCCAGATTGAATTGTAAGCATGGAGGCTTGATTTTGCTGACCTCATTCCCTACATGAGGGGGCTTCCCCCCCTTCTGAAGTTTTATACTTTCTCCAGCTGATCCCCCCTTCCTTATTTTGGTCTTTGAAGGATCCAGGAGGTCACAGTGGGTAGGATAGGACCCCGTCCACCTCTAATTACTTTTATTTCATCAAAACAAATGGGTTATCCCTGTTCCCTCCAAGGAGTTCAAGGCAGCGTAAGTGGTTCTGTTCTCTTCCCCGCTCCCCATTTTTATCCTTACAGCAATCCTGTGAGATGAGTTAGAATGTGAGGTTTGGCTTTGCCCAATTAGCTTTATGGCCAAGATTTGAATCCAGATCACTCCAGTGACATTCTGTGGTAGGGGGAACCTTTGGTCCCATTTAAGGCCTGCATCAGACCTCTGAGTTTGGATGGGGAGAATGGAGTTGCTGTTCCACAGGTCTGGAGGGCGCCAGGTTTGGGACAGGTGGCTTAGAGTGTTGTCAGTTCAAAGGGCCTCCTGGAGTAGGGTCAAAGTATTTGAAGGTGTGTCTGCCCCCACCCCGGAGACTTTGCCCACAGGTGAAGTCGTCCTCAAAGTATTTTGCTCTCCAGCTGACTTGAAAGGCATTGGCAGTCCCTTGCATCTGGTAGCAATCACCATCCTTTCGATTCTCAGCCGGTGTGCTGTGTTGATTGGAATATGCCGCGTTAGGAACAGAAACAGAGAAAACATGCTTCCTGAGAAGAACGGAGCCTTCTGGCTTTCCTTTGCGGGGAATCAGAATCCCCCAAGAGCATTCCTAAAAATTATTTTCATTATTTTGTGCCCAGCATTACTCTGAACACCTTTAAATATCAGCGGCATGATCCCAGGTGGCACAAAGGGGGAGGTGGTGCACACCCCTCAGAAAAGCAAACGTCTGATCCCAGGAAAAGCTGCTGCTTCTTGAAAGCGCTGTTGTGAGGTGTGACATGAGCCCCCACTTGGGCTTCAAGACATCTTTTCCCTTCCAAATCCAGTTTGCTGCACAGCCCTCTACACACACACACACACACACAGAGTGAGTTGCTGTTTTTCAGGGGTGATATAAGTTTAGATATGGGAAATATCTTTCTGTACATGTGATTTCATGACTTTCCTCTTCCTCATGCAAAAGCTAATTTCTGTGCTCAAAAAGAATGGTCTCTGCAAGAAAGGAGGGCCTTCTTTGGATCAGGTAGGAGTGCAGAGAAAGCTGCTTCCCAACTGCCCCCCCCCCGTAAATTGACCCCCTTCAGCGCTGCCCCTTTACAGTAGTCTTGGCTGGCCAGAATCCAAAGAGTTGCTTGTTGGGATCCTTGCAAATGAAGACGTAGAAACTTTCTGCCCACTTAAATACTCTCTTGTCTCAGAAAGCCTGCACTGGGAGATGTTTACCAGCGTGCCCTCAGTTCTTGGCACGGCCACCTGCCAGCAATTTTTAGTCACCATAGGTGAAGAGCTCTGCAGGTGGGAGAGTGGGAGGCCGAAAGCTCTTCCAGGTGTCTGCAGCCGGAAGTCATGTTGTCTGCCTTCGGGGAATGTGGTACTTGATTTATATATGGTAATGAGGCTTTCTGTTCTCAACACGCAGAGGAGAGGGAAAAGTGGGAGTTCACCCATGGAGCCCATAGACAAGTGGCTCATCTCCCAAGGAATGGTGAGGAGAATTTCGCCATCAAGTGACACCCCCTCCTCCTGTCATGTTGTCCCCACTCCTCCCGGTGTCCTTTCAGTAGCATCACCACCCTCTGTTCACCTGTCACTCAACCTGTTGAAACAGTACAAACTTGGCAGTCAAAGGAGAGGAGACCCATCCATGGAGATGGAAGGGTGGGCTGGTGGGGGCTCGATCAGCTGGAAACTTCTTTTCCCAGCTGGAGAGAGTGGGAGAAAGAGGCGTGCTGTTACGGCGGTGCTGGGTTTGTTTTCAAACCTTGGATGGATCTCTCCAGTTCCTTGTACTGTCTTTTTCCTTTTTTTAATACCTGCAGTATCCACTTTTTCCCCTCCAAGGTAAACACAAGTATTTAGTGAATGGGAAGGATGTTTGGGGTTCGCAAAACGTTTAACCAGCCGGACTCATAGCACAAAATAGCAACCCAAACTCAGATAAAAGTTGCTTGGATCAGCCTCCTCCACTCTGGTGCCTTCAGATGTTTTGGACTCCAACTCCCATCCTCCTCTAATCAGCCTAGAGAATTGAAGGTCAGCACACCTGGGCCACCCTAGGCTCATCTGGACAACCCTTTTTCTCTCTGCTAATGTTCTGGGGAGGGGGAGAGGAACAGTGGCATGTCCTACAAGAGCAGAGAACTGTGAGAACAGCAGACAGTTCTCTCCTTCCACGCTCTGCGTTTTATAGCCTTACTCTACACACACACAGCTAGCAGTGCGATAAGCTTGCAGGACTGCGCAGAGCTCTAGATGTAAACTTTGCCCTGAAGACTCAGCTGCTTTCAAACAGTTTTCTGCAAAGCAAGCAAGAGGAAGGAGATATCCTAAATATGGGTGTGAAAGTGCAAGAGTCAGTTAAATTGCACCCTCAAAGAGGAATTTCAGTAGCAGCCACCCCCAAGCTGCAGCTCCCGGAATTCTTGCAGGAGACAACCTGTTCGAAAAACAGTGAAGATGAGGGGAATTTGGTTGATGAAAGTGGGTGCAAGTTGTTTAGGGGGCATCCATCTTCATCAGAGTGACTTATTTTCAGGGGGGTTGGACCGCTTCTAAGATGCGCGAGATATTTTTAGCTTTTTGGAAAATGTGGCATTGTAGCCAAAACCATTGAAATAGAAGATCGTGCATCTGCACAAACGCAGACCGTGGGTGCATCCCCACTTATGGGCGTGGTGGCCATAGTGGCTGTGGCACATTGCAGTTGAAGTGCAATGAGTCTGGAACGGCCCGTGGTTCTGGAACCCTGCAACCAGGGGATCTGCAGGGAGTGGTTGAAAAAGTCAAGATGTTGCAGTCACTGCTCCACCTGTTTTTTTAAGAGGGTCACACACACAACACCCATAAGAAGTGGGTGGAGCTTTGATCACCCCATCATGGCTGCTGTCCTGACTTTTTTGACCATGCCCTGCGGATAGCTTGGCTGCAACCAAGCGCGAGGACGCGTACGCCCAGCAACTTCCAGGTGACTCTCTCCATTTGGATCTCTGAGCTGAGCTCAGGTTGGGAGGCAGAACAGCTGAGGAGGAGCGCGGCATCAGGGCTGGGGCCAGCGGTGCGGCTCCCCTTCTGTCCTGCTTGTGAATAATACGCGGCTACCGCTGGGGCCCCCCTGCCTTTCCTGCTAGCCCGGGCTGGAGTGGTGAGGGAGAGGATTTTTTATTGATTTATTTATATTTCAAATTTGTCACCGCCCATTGCACTGTGGGGTGACTCTGGGCGGTTTACAGTAAAAACAGAATAAATATTGATTAAAATAAATAAATATTAATTAATTAAAATCTGTTAAGAACACACTTCCTTTGTAATATTTCCAAGAAGCAGATGTTGATTAGGTGTTAATAAAATCAGGGCACATTGTCAAGGTGCCAGCCGTCCCCAGGGTCGATTGTATCTTTCCTTGGCCCAGGCAAGTTGGCAGAGCCAAGTCTTCACTTCCCTCTGAAAAATTGGGAGGGAAGGGGCCCGCCTCACCTCTGGGGGAAGAGTAATCCATAGGGAGGGGGCAGCGGCAGAGAAGGCCAGTCGACATTCTCTCACTGGTGATGCAACTCCTGACATCCTTTTCCTCTCAAATCCCCCGGGATAAACTCTTCCCTGGAGCAAATCCTCCCACTGTTCCAGTGTCTCGGGGGGACTCTCCCCATTCTCTGCTGTGATCTGAAAATCCTGCTCCTCCTCCGATATTCTGGCCCTACGCGCTTGTGTTTGTTCGGCTTGGAAAAAGGATACTGCTCCCTTTGTGGAACCCTGAATAACAACCATACCGGACTGGACAGGCTGCTGTTCCCCAGCCTGTCCTCCACAAGCTGCTTGTCCTTGTTTGTTTTTAACATGGACACGTTTGGCCTCCTCTGTCCGACTAATCCATAACCATGTTTCTGTCTCAGTAGTGGCGCTCTTAACCATGTCCGTTCACGAGGCACATAATAGAATTGACCTTCCCCAGTGTGCAAGCAGCCAAGCGAGAGGGAGCGCAAGGACACACCAAGAGTCCCTTGCAAAGGGCTGGGAGTTTAAAGGAGCAACTTGAGGAGTGGGTCAGAGAGACCCTGAAGCTCATCCCCTTTTCCGGACAATATTTTTATGTGTCTCGTTTTTGATCGCTAGCCCGTTCCGTTCAGGCACCCAGTTTTGTGCCTTGTAGCTTGGACTGAGCCAAGTGACCTTTGAGAAGCTTCCTTGCATTTGGGCAGCCGACCAGTGCACAAAAACCAGCCCCAGCCATGGTTGTGCCAGCTGTGACCTGGCGTGATACCTGAACTGGCTGCTGTGGTTCTGGCGGCTGCTGCTGCTGCTGCTGCCGCTGCTGCTCCAGAGAGCTGGGTGCTGGAGAAAGGAGGATGCTTGGCAAATGGGAAATGAAAAGCAAACAGTTGTTTGCTTGTATATCTGGAGTTGCAAGATACAGTTTTGGGTCTCAAGCTTGGGCATAATTTGATAGCCTTTTAAAGTGTTTTGTTTAAGCAGGTTCTGTACAGGCCTGAGTTCAGGGAAATCTAGTTACATGTGGTTGAAGCAGAAGCCAGCTCTGCATAGCCCAGATTGGTTAATGTCAGCCATGTCTCCTCCCGCCCCCCACCACATCTCCCTACGCCTGGAGCAGACTTACATGTTTTAGCTGACCATCTTTACCAAGCAGTGAATGAACGAATGCAATGCTTTTAGACCTATATATTATGCAGTCTGCTGGAAGAGTGAGACGTATGACAGAATCACTGTTTGAATTACTCTTTCGGTTGCGCGTCAGTTGGGCAAGAGGAACCCAGCTTGACAAATGGAATTCAGATTAAATCAGCGGCAATACTGATTTAGACCATCTCTTAGCGGCCTGATATCCGCCACCATCTGCAGTTCAGAGCCTTGGGAGACCGGGCAGAATGAGTGGCGGCGGGGGTGACTCGGAAGCGCCTTAGCCCTGCGCGGACCAGATTCGGCCAGCAGTCAGTTCTTCGTGTGCGTGGAAGGGGAAAGGAATCTAGGCGTCCATAGCCATCGCAATAAGTCCCGAGGGATTTGGGGGTGCACGTGTAGCAGCTCCGAGGTTTGTGGACCGGGCCTCCCCCAGCCTGTTTCCCTCACCCAGCGCACACGTTGGCACGAGTCCCAAGCCTTCCGCGGCATTTCTGGCCCCTTGCGGGGCATCAGCTTCGTCTCTCAGGAGGCCCCCTGCGTTCCCACCTTCTGTATCAGTTAGGAAGCGGAAGACAGCCCTTTTGCTCCTCGCTTGTAGGACGCCGCCAGACCCCCATTTCACTCATTATAACCTTTTGTATGTTGGGTTTTCCTAGCCCCTTTGCCTTGTTTCCCACGGCTTTATTTGTGTGCGTTGCGATTCCTGTATGACAACGACAATGCACTTCTTTTACAACCGCAATGCATCTTACATGGCATATATTTGTTTTGTTTTTGCTTTGTTTTCCCCCTCTCCCCCTTTCTTTTATTTCTTCCTTTTCTGCCTCATTCTGGGCCCATGCTTCTGGGTGTGTTTTGGTCTTTGCCTCCTTCTCTGTCTCTCTCGCTGCCCTGCCTAGATTCCTGTCCCACAGTCCTCTGTCATGGAGGACATTGAGGAGTGGCTCAGTACCGATGTGGTAAGAGACTCTTTGGTTCTTTTGCTTTTGCCCTGTTTTATTTTCATTTGCACCCAAGTCGTGCCGTGCGATGCCAGATTAGGAGCTCTCCTTGGTGATGTATCACGCGCAGGCTTCTAAAATACATGGAAAATGATTTGGGGAGAATGGAAAGGCAGGGAGGGAGGGACCTCTGGCAGCTCCCGCTTGAAACTACTGGATATGTGTAGCAGAAGGAGGTGGGACAGATGTGTGCTGAGGGGGGGGTGTTGGCAAGCCCCGGGAACTTAGAAGGCCTATAGAAACACATTAAAAAATGGAGCAGAAAAATATCCAGAGGAAGTGAAAATCTCCCATGAGGAGAGTTGGCTGAGTGTTGGAGGGGGGAAAATATCATGGAGTGAAATGCCCGCCCCAAAGGAATTCTCATAGGGCCACCCCATGTGTATATGCACGCATGCCGGTCCTTCTCTTTGGATTTCTTGGGATAAGAGAACACCGCCCCTCCCAGGCGCTTCTGCACTGAATGTGAACTCTGGGAATGGCCAGAGGGGTCATTTGGAAGGGGGCATCCCCGGCGTGGCCCTTCCACATGTCTCCTTAGGCCAAGCAGGGCAGGTGCCTCTAGCAGAGGCAGGGCCTGGAAGCTGCTCCTTCCTAGGGTTTTCAGGACAATGGGCCCATTAACAGGACTCTTTGCTTTTTAGCGAAGTTGCTGGATTGCCTCCTCCACTTCCAGGGAGTTCATAGTCCCAGCGTTTTTCAAGATGCCCAAACTGGGGGCCTCGCCTCAGCTTGGTGGTGGCCAGCCCGTTAATCTGGAAGGACCCTTTTGCCCATTGGACGGTTCAGTCCTCCTTTGCTGGCATGTGCAAACAGAGTCAGTCCTGGCCTCTGTTTTTCACTCCCAGAAATATGTTGACCGCTATCAAGCAATCGCATTTCCTTGCTGTTTTTTCACCCCAAGTTAGGGCAAATCGGGGGACCAGTTCTTGGGGCCACCCTCAATTGGCTTGCCCGGCCGGAAATGCACTTACACTCCTGCAACTCTTCTTAAAGGAGGAAGAATAAAAAATGGTGACCTTCCTCTCCTTTCTCCCCCCACCCCCCTTCCTTTTTCATCCAATTCCAGAAAGGAGATGAACTGGAAGAAGGTGTGACCAGCGAAGGTACGTAGGCAGCCCAGGGATAAATGTGCCACCTTAATTCAAAGGATGGGCTCACGGAGGATGGGGAAGACCCCTCCCCTGCCCAGAAACCCGGGGAGCTGCCGTCAGCAGCAGAGGCGGTGCTGGGCTGAAGGGAGCCCCAGCATCAGAGAGGGGAGCTGAGTGAGTCTACCAGGGTGGGAGGAAGATGCGTGGCCCACTGCCTGCTCCTCCCTCGTTACTAGCAAAGAACGCGGTCTGCCAAGCGGAAGCATGCGTGCGGTGCGCCTAGGCCAGAAAGAAAGCGTCCCTCCAGCCGTTTCTCATCTGGACGATCGGAATCCAAGCCCTTCCTTTGCTGCCGTTTCCAACAGGCTTCCCCCTAGTGCAGGCTTCCCCAACCGGGCGCTCACCATGGCCGGCAGGGCTTCTGGGTGTAGAAGCCAGTCCTTGGCTGGACTTCAGCAGGGGAGAGTAGATGGCAAGGACCGCCGGCAGTGGTCCTCGTGTTGCTAGCTGCTCGCAAAATGGCCCGGGGGGCCGGTTTCCATGTGACCCTTGTTTTTAAACCTTGCAGAATTTGACCGATTCCTTGAGGAGCGTGCCAAAGCGGCTGAAAGGATCCCCAACCTGCCCTCGCCTCCTCAGGAGGAGCCCGCACCGGCCCCACCGAACGCCCCCAGCCAAAGGAAGACGGAGCACTCCGAGGACGCCCTCTTTGCGCTGTAGTGCTCCTTCCCCTGGGCTCTCCCTGCTCAGGCGGCGGCAGCAGCGGCACATGCCAAGCGCGACCCGGCTGGCGATGGGCTCCCTCCCGTCCCCGGGTGCCCTTTTCTTTCCCCTGGGCCCCGGCCCCACTCCCCTAACCTTTGAAGGGCCTTGGCAGCAGTTCTGCCACTCGGATAGCCGTGGTTTTCCCCTGAAGTCCCTCGCTCGCCTCTGCCCCGTTGATGATGCTGAGATGTTTTTCCTTTTTTGTTTAAAAAAAAGAGAGATCTGCACGACAACTCCCCCCCCCCCCGCATATACAAAATAGCCACGCCGTCCATCCTGGCTTTGCTGTAGGGTGGAACTACTCCAAAGCCTGGCCCAGGGTCCCTCCTGCAAGCATCAGAGCAGACCTTCAGCGTCACCCTCCCAACTGTGGCTTTTTTCTCTCTCAGCTTAACTAGAAAAGCTAATCTGAAGGAGGTTTGTTCCGGGAGGGTGGTCCCAGTTCTCACAAAGGCCCCAGCGTTGTTCAGCCTGCGCGGGGTCCGTCGGTTAGGGACCAGCCTCTCTGCAGGCTCCAGAGCGAGCCGGCTGCCTCTCTTTTCTTCCGTTGCCCCCGGGCTCTAGGTGGGCTCAGAGATTCAGCCCCACCGTGGGGGGGGGGGGACAGGCCAGTGCGCCCCTCCAACTGTCTTTACTAGGATCGTATTTGTAAGGGGAAGAGAGGCCAGCCACAGAAAGGATTGCTCTTTGCACTGGAAATGCTAACCCCGCGCAGCAGAATCTCTGGAGGTAGGAAACACTCCGTGTGTGGGTGGGTGGACGCATGTGTGTGCATGTATGTTTGTGTGTTTATATACGTGTGTGTGTGTGTGTGTGTACGTGTGTATTAAAAACTCTTTTGCATTCAGAATCACTAAATGGCACTACAATATCAGTGGGATTCTTTTCCAAACACTAGCGAAAAGCGGGGAACGGGGTCATGGGGCAGTCCTGTTGAAAGGAGTGGGATCTTCGGTACTCCCGTGACTCCAGTATTTCAGTAGCAGGTGCACAAGAGCCCCGTCGGCTCGACTGGGACTTTAATCATTACCTCTCCCCCCACCCCGGCCCAGCCCAGTCCAGTTTGCACGCTTTCCTTTCCTTTCTTTCCTTTCTTTCTCAGAAGGTTCTTCTGCAGTTTTTCATTCAATACCGCTGTATGTCCAGAACTTGACCGGGAAAGAGATGCAGTTCTTTTTCAAAACACATTTTCCACTTTGGGGAGAGATGATAGCCTTGTCCCTTTTTTAAAAAATGGGCAAAGGTTTCTAAAGGGCACATTTCTATAGGGTGGATGCCATCGAAAAGGCTTTTAAGAGGGTGCAAAAATAACTTAGTGTGGGATAAGTGCTTCCTCATGAAATTAAATTAAAAGGCGTTACCCTAAAGCACGGAGCATCCTTGCCTCGCCTTCCCCCAAGCTGCATCCAGGTTGTGCACCGTGGGCTGCTGTCCTCTACCCCAGGACCGGGGGGGACACTTCAGTGTTTCTGGGCAGAGGAACGGGTGGCTTCCCACCTGGGCAGAGCTGCTGCCAGCCCCGGAAAAAGGCTGCTTTTTTTCTCCAGGGCCCCCGTTCTTTGCTCGGAGACTTCCCCACTGCCAACGTCACTTGGCACAGACGTCAAGCCTGCCTTTAGCAGTCCGGGAGGTGGAGCGGATGTTTCTTGGCAATCCCGATAGCCCATCGGGCTCACCAAGCCCAGCAGGAAAAGCAGCTGTGGTGCTCAAGCCTGAACCACCCCTCCCCTCTTTGGGATGACACTCGTGTGGGGCAGCTTCAGCGGACAGGGCAGAGGAGGAGTGACGGGAGCAAAGGAGGAAGAAAGCAGGGCTGACCTCCCCTGGGGATTTGGGCCTAGAAAAGACAGCTTTTAGTTTTTCCCAGCTTGATCCACAAATCTACCCTCTTATCCCTCTCACTGTGTCCTCCAGTTGCCCTGCTGTACTGTTTATTACAGCCCAAAGACCCCCAAATTGCCCCCTGCGCCTTTGCAACAGGTTGCCTCCGCAAGCGGTCAAGCTCCCGGGTGGTCTTCCTGGATGCAGGCAAGCAGACCAGGAGTGCCACCTGGGCCTCGCTGACCCCCAGCTGAGAGCGTGCTTGCCCCACCAGTTCCTAGCCGCTGGCTGCCCTCCCTCCCCTGCTTAGCTCTAGGAACGTAGAGGAGAGGAAACCCGCCAGCCGTAATTCCCACAGCAGCCTCCAGAAGCTCCACCGCTGGGATCTGGCTTCAAGGGGGCGACACAGAAAGAATGACGCGCTCTTGCTGAAAATAAGCCACCACCCCAGTTTGGCAGCAAGAAGTCGGCTGGCGCTTTGACAGCTGTTCCCCTGGCAAACCAGCTTGCGTCTCGGGAGAAGAGCGAGGAGGCTCCCGTGGGCTCGCATGTCAGCCGCTGCCCCGGGAGCCTCCAGCCCCTCGGCCTGGCCTCTTGCTGGCCCCCCCCTTTTCCCTGCATCCTTCCACCAGCCTTCCAAATGCTCACTCTTCTCCAAACACTTCTCCAGAGCATCTTCCCTGGGTTTCCTGCTGGGTTGCATTTTGTTGGTCTTCCCCCCCCCGCAAAAGACTACCTACCTGCTAATTGTTCAGCGTATCTCTTTCCCTGAAACCAGTATCATAGCATTGCCATCTGTATATTTAAAACTACAACAACTTCTCTAGATGTCCAAATTAAAAATGGATAATATTTATTGACAGACAATATTCAACGTTTGTTTTATTTGAGGAAGTTGAGGGGCGGTCAAATGGAATTCATTGTTTAAAGAAAAATGTAAAGATAACTATGTAAAAATAATAATAGTAATAATAATACTTAAATCCATTTAAAGCTGTCCTAGCTTCTTTTTCTTCCACTAGTGACAATATCCCTGAGAGCAAAACCAGCTGGGGGGTTTTGCATAAGGTTGCATTAATAGATAGATGGTCACTTAACTCTCCTTTTGGATGTGTCTGTGTCTCTGTACATATATATATATTTATAGATATAGATATATATTGTTTCCGCATGTGAAAATCCTCTCAATAAAAAAACCCAGTGCAATCTGTAGAGCGATAACGACTGGAACTCCCTTACCCATGGTTTGGCTGTAGTAAAGCTGCATTGGGATTTTGTAGGCCTTTGAACACAAAGGCCAGAAGAAATTGATGCTGAACCTGAAAGGATTTGATACCTTATTTTCCTTTCTCCCCGCTTTGCATTTGCAAGAGTTCTTTCCCAGTTTTGGGGGGCAAGTGAATTTTTTCTTTTTTATTGTACTTTCCAGCTCTGCTTTCAGTCCAGAGCGAGCCACAGGGCAAGTCAGAATAGCTGCGGGCCAGACACCTAATCAGGCAACTCCTTGCAGCTTTTTTTATTTGGCAAAGCAGTTGAAGCTGGGCCTTGTTTCTCAACTCTCTTCTGCACTAATGTCTGAAGGAGGAAAGGAGGGCCCCGCCGATCCCTTCTGGTTCAGCTTCCCGGGCGGTGCGTTGGGCGAGAGAGCAATGCCTCTGCAGATGGAAGAGATGCTCCAGCATCCAGAACCCTGTTGCCCATCACAGGTACAACCAGTGCTGCCAAAACAGCAGAAAGCAGTGTGCCACGTCCTGTTTTCTCTAATGCAACCATGTTGTAAGGGGTGAGAGGACCTTTGGCTCCAGGAGCCTCCACCCCCTTCTCCCCTCCCCAGTCCCACCCTTCTTCTTCACCTGCCCACCGGCAGTGAGCAAAATCAGGTCACCCTCTCTTCAGGGCCAGGCCTGCAAGGGCACCACAGCTGGTGCTGTGGACCGTGGCAAAGGACTTCCCCCCAGGATGCCACAGAGAGGGCAGAAAAGCAACAGCTGCTTCTACCATCTGCGTGCCAAAGTCCATTGCCTCTGACTATAACGGCATTTTTCTGTCTGGCTAAGACACACCTGCTGGGTTTTGACCCAAATCCATCTAGAACAGTGTTTCTCAAACTTGGCCACTTTAGGATGTGTGGACTTCAACTCCGTGGCTGGCTGGGGAATTCTGGGAGTTGAAGTCCACCCATCTTCAAGTTCCCAAGGTGGAGAAACACTGCGCCGGAGAGTTTTCCTTCCCATCTCACCCCTGGATTTCGGTGTTGCAGAAAGCTGCACCTGTTGAACTTCTGGGAAAGGAATGGGAGAATAAAGAGAAGGGGCGGGATCCAAGACAAAGTTGAGAAGAACCCTTGCCTGAAGCAGCAAAACAAAATCCCCCCGCCTCTCCCATCTTTGCAGGTGGGTTTCTGAGCTTTGCAAGGACTTGGCCGGGGGCTTTCGAGTGACACCCTGCACTCCAAGAACCAGCCTTACCGCATTTCCCATGCTGCCCAGTCAACGCAGTTCTTCCCCACCTCCTGCAGTTCGGCATCTTGTTAGCAGCAGAGCAGGCTGTTTCTTGCAAGTCCTGCACTGGGGCAGTTACTTAGGTTGCAACGCTGGCGCCAGCAAATGTGCGAACGCACTTCCTTCTTGACCCTCCAAGTCCAGCCAATAATCCCTCCCGGCCAGCGCAGCATTTGGGTGCAAGAACCACGGTGCTCCGTTCCCAACGAAAGCAACTCTCATCGAAACCAAGGCAGGTTCGAAGAAAGGTTCATTTACTGGAAAGTAGTAGACAGCTCTAAAGCATTGCTGGAACTGAGTCCCGCGTGTGCCAAAACTTAGCTTTACCTCATTCCCATTTCACCCCCCTGCTTCTGTCTCTGAAGCTCTCTTGTGCATGTCAGCGATTCTCTCCGGGTCTCACGCTGGTACGACCCTGGGCATTCCTGCGGAGCCAGATACCAGGCCGTCTGCGCCTAACGGTTCACCTCCCTTCCTCCCCTTCGCTGTAATGGCAGAAACGAAGCAAGCGAGCTAGCAGGGCGATGGCTTGATGGATCGCGAGGATTCTGACACGCCGCCCCTCTGGGGGGGGAAATCAGTTTCAGACTTCACGGAAGGCGACCTGTAGAAGGATTAGAGAGATTTAAAACATGTACATTTTCACAACATGAATAAATTCGTTATTTTGGCCTGTCAGGGTACTTCTTGTAGAAGTCCTTAATCAACTGTGGTGCCCGCACGTGTTTCTTCGCTACCCACTCGCGTTGTGCCTTGGGAAAATGCTTCCATTGAATGAGGAATTGTGCGTCTCCTCGTGTTTTCCGGCATCTAAAATCTCCTTGGCTTCAAAGTGCGAGCCGCCTTCAATCGTGATAGGGTCTGGGGGTGGTTGTGCCACGTGCCACCCCGGTGATTCGTTGTAAGGTTTTAAGAGGCTACAAGGGAACACTGGGTGAATCCTAAGATCCTCAGGCAACTGGTAGTCGAACCGTAACAGGGTTAATGACTCTATTGTAAAAGTCCCACAAACTTTGGTCCTGATTTTTTCGACGGTTGTAGCATTGAGATACTTCGCTGATAAGCACACTTCGCCTCCCACTTTCCTCTTCAGGGGATGGCTCGCAATCTGTGTTTTTTCTCTCTCTCCCTGGCGTCTGTCAGGGCCAAGCGTCTGTCACTTGTTTGATCCATTCGTCTAGGAGGCCGCTTGAGCGGATTCCTGGGGAGTTCTGGGACAGGCACAAAATCCTGCCCGGCGCGCCGATGCACATCGTCGTCACGAGCCGCTTCAGCAAACGGCA